CTAGCATATATATATATATATATATATATATATATATATATATAAAGTAATTATTTGGATATTGAAAAGCAATTGTATTCATTATACTATAATATAAAACGCGTCATCAAACGTGCATGGTAATCTTTTAAAAATCTTTAAATTAATACGTTTAATAACTATTTGCTTTAATCATTTTTATTTTTTAAAAATATTTTAAAACGTAGCAACTTTTTTTAAAAAAAAATGTTAATAAGTTGAATATTATACAAATAACTTGTATATTAAAGTTGCGCATCTAAAATTGGCAACAATTTATTGTTAATAAAATACTTAAAATTTATTGAATAGCAATAAAAAAATTTGATTAAGTCAATTATCAAGTATCATTTTCTCGTTTATAAAAATTGATGTTCGCATTTTTAATAATTTAAAGAGATAATGGAGAAAATTATTGCAAATGTTTTAGATTTTCGCGTTGCATTAAATATTTATCAGATTATATTCTGCCATAAATATACTTGTTAAAAGTCATTTTTATTAAACTTTTGTTTTTATCAAATTTTATTTTGTTATAATTTATTGTTATAGTTATATAACATATTTTATTTAATATTTATATAATATATTTTATTTGATTATGCACTTTCATTTAGTCTATTATTATTTTTTTAATATTAAATTATATTGTACAAAAAATAATAAAAAATAAGTAAAAAATTTAAAATATATATGTAAAGAAAAAAGGACCGCTGATTAAAATCGGCGGGGGTGGTAGAGGACCTTGACACATTTCCATCAAGTTTCATATTGTTACGAATATTCATAACTAATATAAAATTATTAATTGTTGAATTTTTAACCTTTAAATACTATACAATTTTTTAACTAGACTAGAACTATCGGAAACTCTTGAGAGATGTTAAAATATTTAATTCTTCTTGTACTTCAGAAAAGGATGTGTCATGTTGGTCATGAAGATAATATATTTATTTTTTGTTTTTTAATTTAAAAAATACAAAACTTTGTTTAAGATTTATCAAAAATTGTAGAACTACTGAAACTATCATTATTTTTTAGAAATTAATAAAACGTTGTTTCAACTTCACGTAATTTTTTTTGTTATACACTAAAGTACCGATTAATTTTAACATTAGTATATACATTTATCAATATGTTCATTTTATATGAAACGATACATAATATTTTATTTTAATATCATTATTTTGTTAAAAAATGAGAAAATTTCTTTTTCTTAAATATGCTATGTGTATGATATGTATGTACATATAAATATAAACATATTGATAAATAAATATATACTACGAAAAAGTTAATCAGTATTTCAATCTATAACAAAAAAAAATTACGCGGAGTTATAAATGTAAACATAATTCTTGATAAAGTTTCTTCGACGGTACGGACGCGACTGTCTATCTTTATCACTCTTGCGTCTAGCACGGAAGAGAACCACAAAAACGTGCACATTACCTACGCGAATAAAGGTACAGCTAAAACGCGTTTATGACCACTCTCAGGCCTCTCTCTGGTTACAGCTAACTCGCGGCATGTCCGCTCTCAGGCTTCTCTCTGATAAAACTCCCGTATACATTACCATCAGTACATTTATTTTGAATTTAGAACTACATAGCTACATCCATTTTTCGACATTTTCCTACCGATAAAATCGCATTCTGGTGGATCGCAACGCGACAACGCGGCAACGCGACAACGCGTCAACCATCCGTTTTTGTTTTCTGATATATAACTTCGTTACATATTAGAAAATAAGACGGTGATTGGCTACCGCGTTGTCGCATTGTCACTTTGCCGCGTCCTGTGTGCAGTCGGCCTCAGGCTTCTTTCTGCTGTAACTTTATTTTGAAGCGCCAATGTCCATAAAAACATGGACATTGAACTACGTAACCAATGTCCATGATCTTGTAGGTAATATCCACGATTGCGTGCTTCTCATTCGTGCTATGTCCACGATTTTGTGGTTTTATTCCGTGCTATATGCAAGAGTGACAGTTGTTAGATAAAGAGAGACGATCAATCTCTATCCGTCCTTGTTTCACAAAACGTGGATATTTAAAACGTAACGATTACAGCATGTTGAGTTATTAAAAAGAGATTGTAGAGTCTGGTATTAGTTAGATATTATATTTATAATATTGTTGAATATTTCGTTTGACATACGTTGTAGATATCGCGGCCTTCAAAATTGTTTACGTGCCGTGGCTGTGACGTAGCACGCGCGTGTTTATGAGCGTCAATGTGTTATCACTCTTTATCCGGTGTTCGAACGAACAGGTAGCGGTGCGTATCGCTCCGCGTTTCCTCATATTTCTTCATTGTTAATAATATCAAATTTGCCGTATCATATAATAGTATATAATAGTAAATGCTTTATAATAGAATATAATAGTAAATGCTTATCAACGATTGATTAACTATTCATAAACGTATCGAAACAATATCTTTTTAATAGGTATATGCGCATATGTCGCGCGACTTATTTCTTTGAAATTTGTGACTTTTTGTAAATGATAACCCCTCCGATAGATACGGCCTTGACATGGCGGAGGGGCTGAGTATTCCGAGAGGTTTCGTACCTCAAAGACGAAGAAGCCAACAGTACCCATTGCACCATTATTAATAATTCAACAATATTACAAATAATATCCAACTTACACGAAATCCTATAGTTTTTAATAATCGAACATTAAATAATGTATATAGATATTTCATTAGAGAGTATCGCGATATTTTCATATCGCGAAACGATATTCGATTCACGATGTGATTCGACGACCATTGCGTGTGTTATTAATATATTATTAATAATATTAATATTACCGTTGAATAATATTAATGTTATTAATACTATACGCAATTGTCGTCGTTTTTTAATCAACATTTCACCACTAATTTAAATGAGTGAATAAACTGCCAGAAATGATGATTAACAAGCATACCGAAACAATACTCTCTAATGAAATATATACACATGTTATTTAATGTTTGGTTACTAAAAGATATAGTTACGTGTAAGTTAGATATTATTTGTAATATTGTGAAATATTTCATTGTAGTCATTGGGGTAGACTTGAGAAATGTTAACGCCGCGCGCTCCATTTTGTACGTACGGCGAGTCGTGTTTATAAATGGTTGACGTGCTACCATTCATTCATCGGCGTTCGTACGGACAAGTCGCTTCCGCTTTCCGCATTTCTTCGCATTTCTTTAAACTAAACGTTGTTATATCTTACGAAATAAAATATCTTGTGTAATAAATGCTTATTAACTGATATGATTCGCGATTCGTAAGCGTACCGAAAAGAGAACTCTATAACAAGATTTTATATATATATATATATATTTCGCGACTTATTTCTTTGAAATTCATAACTTTTTGTAAATAATACCCCTCTAATGGGTACGGCCTTGACGTGGCAGAGGGACTCAGTATTCCGAGGGGTTATTTAAGCAGTACTATTAATCGGCGAATTAATGCCGATTAACTTGTGCTACTTGGGTATGTACCCCAAGGACGAAGAAGCTAACCAGTACTCGTTGCACTGTTATTAGTAACATTAATATTAACGTTAAGTAATATTACTATTATTAATAACATACTAACACAGCATAGCCACGAGTCGTGAAATGGCTTCTATATGGCGCGTGCGATTATTTAATCGCCAACGACCTTTATTTTCCTTTCTTAATACCTTACTCTTCCCCTTCCTAAACAAATCACGTTTAATCTGACTTGATCAGAGCTTAGTTCGGGCGGTTATTGCGTGTGCCGAGAGGCTGGATCCCAGTTGTCCGATTGTCTAGATTGTTAGGCATCGGCGGTGGATACCTTCTCTCTCGTCACATCTACCAGCCTTCTCGATAGCCGGATGACTTTTGATATCACGTGTATGGTATCCGCCCTGGTGATTCGACCTGAACCGTTGGCTATGCGATGATTGAGTCAATTTTAGACGTGATTTCTAAGAAACAAAAGACGTCGGATTCAAGTCAATCGATTCGTCTTCTTCCATTTCGGTCCTAGCCTTTGCTTGAAGAGTTACCCGTGTGTCCCGAAAAGCTCATCGACTCGGGTGCTGACTGGACCGATGGAACTTGATATTTTCATGGGCAGCTAAACGCGGAGTGCCGTCGTATCGTATGCAAGTATCGTGCGAAAAACTTTTATTGAAAGTTAATCCGTGCGCGATTATAATAATTCGCGAGTATTTTTCGCGAGTGTCCTGTGCTGCGAGGACATCCGACGATCCGACACCTTGAGAGGAGGAGGAGACTTAGGAGAGGCATCGGACACCGGCGGAGCAACCTTGCAGTAAGTATACATTTTTTTGCAAGATGAAATTATTTCTTTTTTTATTTATTTGGATCACTGAATTTTAATCATTTAAAATTTATAGTTTGAGAAAGAAAAATAATTTAAAGTTAATATAAATTTGTTCTATAAAGGTCTTTTTTGAAAATTATGTATTAATTATTAATTATTTATTATTATTATTATTA